ACATCACTGACTAAATTCTTTTTTTTTTTTTTTGGCTTAATAAACTCCTAAATTTGATGTGCAGATGATCAAACGGGAGAGAAGTCAGAAAATGCCACCAGTGAACTCCTGTCATTCAAGATGGAAATTCAGACGTTGCAGAAGCAGCTCAGTGACGTTGCTGTGAAGGCTTCTAACAACAGAGCTGTTCTCGATGAGCTACAGCTAGCCGGCGAGGACATGCAGAGCGGACATCACTCACTGCGAGATCTGTTGGAGAGCAATGCCAATGTCATTAGCAAAGTAAACCGCACCTTAAACTCATACAGCGGCTTGATTGACGGACTAAAGACAGACACGTCTCGGCTCCAGGTGGACCTTCAGGTGCAGACAAGCGAACAGGGCCGAAACACCCACAGTATCAGCACTCTGAACTTCACCCAGACCCAGCAGAGGAACCTCATCAGCTCTCTCCAGAGGTCGGTGGAGGACACTAGCCAGGCTGTCCAGAAGCTTAAGAATGACTATCAGAGCCTTCAGCAGGTGGCTAGGCAGACCAAAGCGGATGTTGACTGGCTGAGGGAGAAGGTCCAGAACCTTCAGGCCTTAGCTGCTAACAATTCTGTGCTGACTCGTTCTAATAGTGACGCTCTGGAGGACGTGACCTCTCAGCTGAATTCAGTCTCAGAGCAGGTGCAGAATGCCTCGGGCATCACCGACAGCCACGAACAGAGCATCCGTGAGCTCATGGACCAGCAGCGAGACCACGACAATTCAACCTCCTTGAAGTTTGATGCACTAGAGGCACATCTTGACCGCAACGAGGCGGAAATGGACCGCATAACGGGGAATGTAAGCTTCACCACACAGCTGCTCGGAGTGATCAGCGTGGATCTGAATGGTCTTCGCACCTGCTCCGAGACAGTGGCCCAGCATTCGGACCTGCTGCTGGGGCTGAACAGCAGTGTGGCAGAAACCAGAGCAGACAACACAGAGCTCAAAACCCAACAGGAAGAACTCGCCACTAGGCTCGACAAAGAGGTCAGCAGCCTCTCCATAGTCATGGAGGAAATGAAACTGGTCGACAGCAAACACTCGCAGCTCATCACAAATTTCACTATCCTTCAGGGTAAGATCTGAGGCTAGGCCTCTATTTATTTAAATATAAACACTTGTTTTAAAAAGATTTTGTTGTAGGCCTATATATAATTTAATCATTCCTATTTTATATTTTAAATCATATTTATATTAAGTAGTGTTATTTTTAGAATTATTTATATACTATTTATATACTATTATAGTTTTATCTTTTATTTTTTATATTTTCAGTTTTCATTTTTAGTTTAGTTTTTAGTCATATTGTTCTGTGCTTTTGACATTTTAAAATATAAAATATAAAATGAAAAATATAAATATATTCTATTTTGATTTTAGTTTTTATTTATTTCCAGTTAGTCATTTTAGTCTTTCACCTTAAACTTAACTTTTTCAATTAGTTACCAAGGCAACATTTTTATTTTTTGTTTAGTTTGCATTTTTCATTTAATATTTATATTTCATGTTTAATTCAATTATCATTTAATAATTGGATAATAATAATAATAGTAATAATAACATTATTATTATTACACAATATATTACAGTATAGAGCACATGATAGAATGCAACAGTGACTGCCCACTTTTCGGAAACAAAACAATAACAAATTATTTACTATGGTTAACAAATTAATTTTTTACTAAAATCATCAAAAATGTATAAAACTGTACATAATTTCTTGTAGTACAAATTTTGTGGAACTACAGTACAGATTTGATGTGTAGACTAATGCGCAGTAAAGGTTACTATATACTTTATATATAGCCTAGATAAATTATTCCAAAAGATAGATAGATAGATAGATAGATAGATAGCAAAGGTACGTTGTCGCGAAGGGCACCAAAGTCTTTACAGCGGGACACACGCTCCATTGAAGTTGAAGTAAGGGTAAAAATCTTTGGGAGGTACCGTGAGCAAACAGACAGTGCAATTCCACATTTATTTACCTATTTGCCACCTTACCTTATATTTTATTCCTCTCTTTTAATCCGTAATGGAGCGCACGTCCCGTCATGCCTGCCACAGCATCTCTCGCTGTTAACCCTCCGATTGATGCAAGTGAACAAACAGAGGTGCATTTTTGTGATGGCAAAATATGGCACTACCATTTTTTGTACACCAAAGGGGGCATGCGTTTATTTATTTTGCCTGTGTGAAAACATGTTCAGTTGCCAAGGCCGATATATCGGCCGATATTTGACATTTTTCAGATATCGGCATCGGCCATTAAGTTTTTCTGTTTGGCTAATGTGTTCGAGGCAGGACTTTTATTTTGACTGCGCTGAGAATGGCAGCACCTGAGCACAGCGCTCACATTCTCCCTCTTCATTGTTTGCTGTCACAGTTTAACAGTTCTAACTAAAAAGTATACAAAAAAAGTATTATAACAATTGCTTTTATATGTGACCCTGGACCACAAAACCAGTCTTAAGTCGGTATATTTTTGGTATATTATATATTTGGTATATTATATATTTTTCGGGTTTATTATATATTGGGTATATCTTTAGCAATAGCCAAAAAAAACATTGTATGGGTCAAAATGATCGATTTTTCT